CCCCCCCCCCCCCCCTCTGGACGGCCCTGGTTACATGAATTTTGGATATCATTTACGATTTCTTTACACTTGATTAATTGGGAATACTCGATCTACATAACAACTCAAAAATAATATAATCATGCACGTTGCAATATTTCTGAGCATATCACCATGCACGTGCGTATTATATTACTTATTGAGTATTTCGCAAAAGCTAAAGGTTTTTACTGCTTATCGTTTCATTGAATAGGTACACATGAAGTATTTTCCTATAAGATGGCACAAACTTGAAAATTCTATTCCGACAATATTCTGCCCGGAATATCAGATGTATTTTGTTCCGACGTATTCCGGGCGGATTATCACAAGTATTCTGCAAATATTTCAAGCGAATACCCCAGAATATCCCGGAATATCAGTAATATTCCGGACCATATTCCGTGGTATAAAGAGGTCGGAATATCCGCCTTTTCGCACAGTGCACTTACTTCCACAGCTTGTACCATTCCCTGAATATCCGTCATTGCAACTACATTCAAATGAACCATCTGTATTATTACATGTAGCATTATTGTGACAGTTGTCAGTACCAAAAGAACATTCATCAACATCTAGACAGACACAAAATAAAATAATAGGTGGATAGAAGTAAATGTATTGGTAAATGATTGATTAACTAAGAGTATCAATTTAAAACTGAGTTAGTGTGGGATACAATGTAATAAAGTGAAATATTTAACAGTTATTCTACGAACTCGAGTACAATATGAGCTGATAGCGAATGTGGCGCGTGGTGCCAAATCGCCTATCGTTTATATTCGACGAGAGTGAGTGGAATAACTGTTTTATTATATACACAAGATCTGCATTCACGGACTTTTCTTTCGGATATTTTTTGAAAAATATATTCAGTATTATTTTTAACAACTTCAAATTTTAAAAATTAGTTTGCTAACACGTAATAATTTAGGACATGTATATGAGTTCGCATGCGCTTCAGTTAGGACAGCGGGTAATACAATTGTTTTAGGGTAAAATGACCATGGTAGTCAACATGGTATATGTGCCAAAACTTGAATCCGGGGCTAAAGTCCAGAAAATGACCCCGCCCTGAAAAGGCAGTGTCGACATAGTTCTAACTTAAAAAAAAAAGCGATAGCCTTTCTGAAGTGGATATAGAGCGTAGAACCGTTGTTTTAGGGGTGGTCTTTGGAAGAAAAATTTTGTCTTACTTGAATATAATTTTTGTGGATTTCATCAAGATTGTCATTGTTTTCTTTAAATATACTACATATTATTTCACTTACCCCTCCACGAAAACAAAATTTCAGCCATATTTTGATGTTTTGTTCGCTATTTATCGCCGAGTCTCGCAAATATCATCCAGTTATTGAACTTTTACATAATCATAAATGGCTAAAGACGATTTCAACCAAGTTTCATGACGTTTTGATCCAGTGCAGTGTAATTTATCCTCGATATTGTGTCTTCGATGTTTCGTGAAAGATGGCGACATTCTAATGGCTCGCTGCTTCTCTGCGCGATAAATGCTATTTCTTCGTCTTCCCATGCATTTAGAGTACAGCAACCAAGCGTACTTCATTGTAGAATAACCCCAATCCAAAAATTGAAAACGACCTCCCATTAGACTTGGCCTGTCAAAATACAAAAGACGTAATTTAAAAGTGACGCGCAAGTTCGCGAAAACCTCTCGTTGGGTACATGACAGGACGGTAAATATTTTCACGAAACGTTTGTTCGCCATCACAGCAACGTAACCAAGTGCATTATATATATATATATATATATATATATATATATATATATATATATATATATATATATATATATATATATATATATATATATATATATATATATATATAAATATTTGCGTATTTACTTCATATATCATAAAAATACAATATATATAACATTGAACATTGAACATTTATTTAAACACGGTAAAATCTTCAGTGTAGAATAAAATACAAAAACTATTAATAAATTTCACACATTACTATATACACACTAATTTCCTAACTAAAATGCACTGTTTTCCAAGATTGCCGTGTGGGAATCCCATTATAATGTCAAGAATTGATTAATTTCATTTTTGAAATGCCTCAATGATTTGGACGTACGTGCAGTTTGAGGAAGCGCATTTCATAAACTTGCTCCACTGTAGCAGAAACTACGCTTCATAAAGTCCGTACGTGGTTTTGGTAAATTTAGCTTCATTTCTGCATTTCTTAAGTTATAATCTGTGCTGCGAAATGTAAACATGTTTTGTAAATACTCTGGCGTTAGCTTATTGATAGTTTTAAACATTAGTATAGACTTGTGCTTTTTCTTACGCAAGGAAAGATTGTCCCAATGCAGTTTCTCTAAGAGAATGCTAGAGCTGACATCGTAGTTGGATTTCGTAATCACTCTAGCAGCTCTATTCTGCAATTTTTGCATTCTTTCCCATAATGTTGCGCCAAATTCGTCCCAAATGGGACTACAGTAATCAAAGTGAGGTTGAATTATAGCGTTGTAAATTTGGATTGCTGTTTCAGTTGATATAAATGGTTTTATTCGCTTAAGAGCACCTATAGCGGAAGAAATCTTTTTACACTTCCTATCAATGTGTTTAGACCAAGACAGATTTTTATCAATAATTACACCTAGTGATTTTGCCTCATCAACTTGTTTAATCACATGACCATCCAGGTCAATATTGATATTTTCGTTAGTGTGCGCATGCATACGTTGTCGAGATCCTATTATCATAAATTCTGTCTTGGCGATATTAAGGCTTAATTTGTTCGCTTCCAACCAGCTTTTCAATTTTTTAATTCCGAATTAATAACATTTTCTAGTTCGGCGATAGTGTTGGCCGCATAACTAATGTTTGTATCATCAGCAAACATTCTCGGTACTGCTGCACTGAGACAATTAGGAAGGTCGTTAATATACACAAGGAAGAGTAATGGTCCTAAGTTACTTCCCTGTGGTACACCACATGTAACTGATGCAGATGATGACAAGCAACCTCTAACATTACATTTCTGAGGTCGACCGGTCAAATAAGACTGAAACCATTCGAGACTTAATTGATCCATACCGTAAATTCGAAGCTTCCGCAGCAATATCTGATGATCAATAGTATCGAATGCTTTTTTAAGGTCGATAAATATTACTCCATTGAAGAGGCCATTGTCAATATTAACTGACCAGTTACTAGTGGCTTCAAGAAGAGCAGTAAGTGTACTATGTAACGACCTGAAACCGGACTGGCAATGCGTTAACAAGCTGTTAGAACTGAAGTAATTATAAAGTTGCTCAAAGATTGATTTTTCGAAGATTTTGGCTACAGCTGAAATAACTGATATTGGTCGATAGTTATCGGATCATTCCTTTTTCCTTTCTTAAATATTGGTGTTACTCTAGCCATTTTCCACTCGGATGGAAATATGCCAGTGTTAATTGATCTGGCAAATATATCAGTTAATGATGGTGAGATTATTGCAGCTGCTAATTTTAACAGCTTATTAGGAATGTTGTCGAGACCTGGAGCTTTTCGTTCGTTAATTTTACTCAACAGAATATAAACCATATCAACCGTAGGAG